AGCTGGATCAGGAAGAGCATGGCCAATACTGGAACCTGCTGGGCCACAGCACTAGTCTGCAGACAGGGTTCCACGTTCATGGCACCTCCAGTTTTCTCCTTTCTCTTTGGCACATGGGTAACATGACCTCTCAGTACTGTAGTGGCTGCTCCCAGGGGCATTGGCCACATGTAGGAGCATGGAATACTCCTCGGGGATGCCACAGGGGCAACCTTGAGGGTAAGCCTATTACACAAAGCCTGCCTCAGCCCTCGGCAGGTGCTCTGCAAAGGAGAGGGAAAAGGGCTGTGCATATTATCTCAAGCCCCCAGCTTTGGGCCATGCCCAGCAGACTTGGACTCTGACCTAGAAACTTCCCTTGAGGCCAAGGTATTCTGGGGCAGTGGACCACTGGGGGCCTGTAGGGGAAGGTTGAATCACTGTTCTCTGGGAAGTGTGTGGGACTCTGTGAGCCGAGCATTCTGTGTTTTAAATCAAAGGCCAGGGAGGAAGTGGAGCCCTCTAGCACTCCTAGAACTCTCCTTTCTGACTGGTGATCTCATTACCGGGGGTCAGTTTAGCCTAATGGAGGCAGAACATCCTCCTCATGGCCGCAGGAGACCCGAAGGAGCACTCCTGGCTCAGGACCCACAGAAAAAGCTCCGCCCCTTCACCTGACATGCAAATCACAGCCAGGTGGGCCTACTCTCCCTTATCAGTTAGAAAAAGATAAAACAGGCTTCCACCACACCCTGGGGTGGCTGTGTTGCGGATGGGAGTGCAAGGTGGTTGAGCCTCTTAGCGGGTCAGCGTTTGAAGCAACACACCATTTGACCCCAGGTGCAAGGGGGTGTGTCAAAGGCATTCATTGACCGGCTTTGTGGTCAAAAGGAATGGTTGTCCTCCAAGGCCCTGCGTGAGGTCAGCTCTGAGACTGGGGCTACATCTTTTTACAAGGAAGGGATCTACGTTGCTGATGTGGGACTGAATGTTAAGCCAGGTGTCCTGCCTCTGAGTGTATTGCCCACACATACATATGCACCTCCCTGTGTACATAAAGGTGGCCTCTGGAAGGTCATGCAAGGCAACTGAAAGCCATCTCTGAGATGGAGGGAGATTCCTGTACCTGAGGACCTGAGGACTGTGAATGACCTTTTTTTTTTTTTTTGGTTGTTGCTTTTGTTTTAGTGAGGGACACACACCTGTTCGCATTTCCCAGCCCTGGTGACACCAGGTGTTCCCCCAGTGCTTCCAAAGCCATCGTACCAGTTACCTACAAGGTTAGTGTGTGCCTGGGAGGCACTATGGCCAGCAGAGGGCACCCCAGGACTATGCCCAGGGAAGGGAAGGGGCCTCCAGGTGTGGGGGGCCACTTCTGGGAAGCTCTGTATCAAAGTGTCTTCTCCTGCTAGGTGGCCAGCACCTTTAGGCCGCCTAAGGCCACATCTCCACGACCCAGTGCACAACCCCAAAGCCACCTCATGGTCTCCTCCGCCGGCTCTGCCAGGCAGGAAGGCAAGGGGTGGCCACAAAGATTTCTGGGGTAACTGAATCAAATCCAAGTATGCAGAGAGATCCCCTACACTTAAATCTCTGCTGGACCCTTCCCAGGCTCAGGTGGCCTATCTAGGGTAAGCAAATGGAAAGTTGCACCTGTGGTCTTAGACACCAAGAGTCTGGGACTCCTTGACCCATCAAGGCAGCTCCAGGATGTGACCCCACGGGAAAAGTTATCTTAAAAGACTGCACGTAAGGCCCAGCGGAGTGGCCTAGTGGCTAAAGTTCTCGCCTTGAATGCGCCGGGATCCCATATGGGTGCCGGTTCTGGTCCTGGCAGCTCCACTTCCCATCCAGCTCCCTGCCTGTGGCCTGGGAAAGCAGTCGAGGACGGCCCAAAGCTTTGGGACCCTGCACCCATGTGGGAGACCTGGAAGAAGTTCTTGGATCCTGGCTTCGGATCGGCATAGCATCAGCCGTTGCGCTCACTTGGGGAGTGAGTCATCGGACGGAAGACTTTCCAATAAAATAAATCTTAAAAAAAAAGATTGCACTTAAAAAGAAGTAAAATTAAAAAAAATAAATAAAAGACTGCACTTGGTGCCAGCATCATGACATAAGAGGTCGAGACTCCACCTGCCAGAATCCCAAATAGGCACTGGTTCCTGTCTGCACTGCTTCACTTCTGCTCCAACACCATGCTCGTCACTTGGGAAAGCAGTAGAGGATGGCCCAAATCCTTGGGCCCCTGCACCCACGTGGGAGACCCAGAAGAATCTCCTGGCTCCTGGCTTCAGACCAGCCCAGCTTCACCAGCCATCTCTTGCTCTCCTTTCTTTGTAAATTTGCCTTTCAAATAAAAATAAATAAATCTTTTTTTTTTCTTTTTTTTTTTTTTTATTATTTTTGTTTTATTGGAGAGGCGGATATACAGAGAGGAGAGACAGAGAGGAAGATCTTCCGTCCGATGATTCACTCCCCAAGTGAGCGCAACGGGCCGATACTATGCCGATCCGAAGCCAGGAGCCTCTTCTGGGTCTCCCACGCGGGTGCAGGTTCCCAAAGCTTTGGGCCGTCCTCGACTGCTTTCCCAGGCCACAGGCAGGGAGCTGGAAGGGAAGCGGGGCTGCCGGGATTAGAACCGGCGCCCATATGGGATCCCGGGCGTGCAAGGCGAGGACCTTTAACCACTTGCGCCACCGCGCCGGGCCCAATAAATCTTTTTAAAAAGAAGACTGCAGGGGGCCCTCAAGATAAAGAGGATGGTGCTGGCAGGTGGCAGAGCAGGTTAAACACAATTGCCATCGCATATGGAGCACCCGTCCCAGGCCGTCCCCGGGTGGGATGGCCACAATAACCAAGTAGGGCTGCCTTGAGGCTGTTTTGTGGGGCACACATAGGTGTTAAATGAATCATTAATACCAAATCTAGATTTCCCAGAATTCCAGAGACTCTGCCCCTGTCCTTTAGCTAGATGACATTTGAAATTTCACATTAAACATCTCCCCATTCTTCCCAGTTTTCCTGGGTCTGTATAGTCTTAAGAGGGTTTCACTGGCCAGCCTGACCTTGTGCTAAATCTCATTCCCTGAAGGCACCTGTTTCTGACTGCACCTGCTTCTGACTTCTCTCGTTCAACCTCACGAGCTCTGAGCTGTAGTACAGTTGTAATGATACATTGTCCGTAATAGAGTTTGCACCCTGACTATGCTACTGACAAACCAGGGTGACTGTTCCCATGGGTGTTGCCTGGGGCCACAGTCAGGAGTGTTGGCCGTTGATTAGATTCACTAGGGAGGAGATTTAGACCCACTCCAGGGACCCCACCCAGACTAACTGGATCAGGGTGTGTGGGGAAGGGGGGTGGGGAGAGCAAGGGGCAAGGTGATGGACCCAGCTTTGGGATTTTTAGCGTTCCCCTAGCGACATCTGATGTTGGGTTAGGGTTGCGAATCCCTGGGATGCAGCTGGCCAGCTGTGGGGAGGGGCGGGGGGTGAACAGGTGGACCTGAGTTAACTCACCTGTTGGTAACCGGTGACAATTCTTCCAAGGCGGCTGTGTCAGCCGACACGTCCTCAGCAGGTTGATAACAGCGACCTCTGTGTCCCTCTGGTGGATGTGAACGGCCACAGCTCACCACGGTCTGAATTTGGCTCTCTTGTCACTACGGAGGTGGAGCTGCTAGGGAGAAGGAAAAGATGCGCGGGGGCGAGAGTTAGCAGAGGGAAAGGAGGGCTGGGACGGCAGGTGCCAAGGGGTAAAGGTTGGGCTGCTGCAGGACCAGAAGGAAGGCTCAGGAAGGACTGGGGGTTCCAGACAGGTCAGCGGGGCTGGGGCGGACAGACGCAGCCCCGGCTCACTTCCACCTCCCACGGTCCTCCACAACTCCCGCCAGGCGGAATTTACGGGGGGGTTCCTCAGGTGCACCCCGCCTGGCTGCAGGAGGGCCGGCCGCTTTGGTCTTTTCTGCTCGAGCCCGCCCACCTCGCCCGGGGGGGCCTGGAATGCGTGGGTGTGAGTGTTGGGGTGGGGAACCCCCCTCAGCCCTGCCCGTCTCCCGCGGTGCCCGTTCTTCAGCAGGTGCCTCCTCACCTGAAAACCCTTCCCGACTCCTCCGAGGCGCAGCCCCCGCCCCGGGAGCGGCTCTGGAGTGGCACTCGGGGTCTTCCTCTCCCCCTTGATGTTTGCTCACTTCCTTGGGAAGCTGCCCCGACACCCCCCCCCCCAGGTGCGCCACGTCTCCCTCACCGTGCCCCCTTCAAAGCGCTCTTCCCCTGTGCGTTCTTCTGCTTATCTCGTCTGCCTCCTCTCGCCCCACCGGGAGCTACCCGCGGCTAGAGACCCCGCCCGGGCGGCCGAGGGGCCGCGGTCCCGGAGCCCGGCAAGCCGCTGAGGGGGTGAAGGCAACGAAAGCACGTCGCGAAAGACTGCTGCCATTTCGGGGCGCCCGGCGTCCCGCGAGGGATGTCCCCTGGCCTCGCTCCCACCGCCACCCAGCCAGGTGTCCTGTCACCGCGCCCCCCGTGCCACCACGCTCTCCGCTCGCCGGAGGAAGTTTCCGGCCTCCTCAGCGAGCTCCAAGCCCCGCAAGGTCAGGGACGCGCGGCGCCAGGGGGCGCCCGAAACGTGGCGGCCGCGGCCCCGGGGCGCTGAGCTGGCGGAGCGCCGCGCGTCCCGCCTCACGGGGGTTCCCGGCGCCCGGCGCTCCGCCCTCGGCAGCGCGCGAGGCCGCCAGCCCAGCTGCCTCAGCCCCGGCCCCCGCCCGAGCGCTCAGCGCCACGCGGCGCAGGCCCCGCCAGACCCCGGCGCACCTGCTTGGGGCGTGGCCTTCGGGCCGAGGGACGCCTCCGATTGGCGGGGAGGTGACAAAAGGGCGTGGCCGCAGCGGCCCCGCCCCGCCCGCCCGCCTGAGGATTTAAGGCGGCGGCGGCGGATTCCACTTAGAGCGCCGTGGTTGGGTCTTGCGACGGGGAGGTTTTTCTGTGGTCGCCACGCGAACCTGCCGCCCGTTCCCTCGAGCACCATGCCGCGCTCTTTTCTCGTCAGGAAGCAGTTCGTGCCCCGCAGGAAGCCGAACTACAGCGAGCTGCAAGACTCTAGTTTGGGTGTGTGGTAGGGCGGGTCCCGGGAGGAGAGGTGGGCGAAAAGGCTGTGCTGACGGGATGGACTTGGCGCCCAAGGGGCGTCCCAGGAGTTCGGTGGGGATATGAGGAGGAGGGGGCCCTGCGTCCCGGGTCTCAGTTGTGAGGAGAGAGGGCTGGAGAGGGGTCCGGGGCCGCGGCGGGACAGGAGGCAGCTCGTGCCCGGGCTCTGGTGTTCCGGAGTCCGGGGCTTTGAGGGGGCAGTAGCTGGGAAGAGCAAGTGTCGCCGCCTGCCCTGGAGTGACTGGGGTCTTGGCCCAGGACGGGACTAAAGGAACAGATCTGGGAAGGGCCACACAGAGCTGGGGCTGGGTGACCGGCCAGGGGGCCGTCGTGCCAGGGCAGGGCTCTTTGTGCACAGGTTCCTGGTGTGTGTTGACTGACTGACCGATGGATTGACGCCTTCCCTTTTTCTCTCTCCCTTCAGAGTTCACCTTCCAGCAGCCTTACGACCAGGCCCACCTGCTGGCCACCATCCCGCCTCCCGAGGTCCTCAAGCCCACGGCCTCGCTGCCCACACTCATCTGGGACTCCCTGCTGGTGCCTCCCGTCCCGCGGGGGCCCGTGGTGGCCTGGGCCGCCCTGCAGGTGGCCGAGCTGACTGTGCTGTCCGAGGACAGTGGCCAGGGCTCACAGCCACCCAGCCCGCCCTCACCGGCGCCCTCCTCCTTCTCCTCGGCCTCACTCTCCTCCCTGGAGGCAGAGGTGTGTACCACCTGCCCGGCCTTGGGCCCACTGCCCAGGCCGCTGAGCCAGCTGTGCGGGACCAAGGAGCCCCAGGCCCGCAAGGCCTTCACCTGCAAATATTGCGACAAGGAGTACCTCAGCCTGGGCGCCCTCAAGATGCACATCCGCAGCCACACGCTGCCCTGCGTGTGCGCCACCTGTGGCAAGGCCTTCTCCAGGCCCTGGCTGCTGCAGGGCCACGTGCGGACCCACACAGGTGAGTGCACCCCACAGCCCTGCCTCTCCCAGCTAGCCTGGGGACCACAGCATTCATGGTGGACCAGGCCAACTACTCCCTGGGCCCCCCTGTGCAGCCAAATGGACAAGGGGCGGCCGAGATGACACCTGGCTGTCAGGGCCAGGTGTGAAGGGAGCTGTCGGCTCCGCCCTCCCCTGCCCGGCCCCGCCCTGGGCAGACAGGATGTTGTCAGACCCCCCACCTGGCCCTGAAGCCTGCCCCGGGGACTTGCTCAGGCTGTGGGCAATTGGAAGCTTTGTTTCCTCACCTTGCAGGGTGTAAGCACGCGTCCCCGAAGCACTAGCTGAGGCACTTGAGATGCTTGGGACTAGGCCAAACTCTCACGAAAAAAAAAAAAAAAAAAGGCAGTAACTGGCGTTCATTGGGCTTCTCTGCTGTGTCACCTTGGGCAGGCAGGTTCACCTCTCTGAGCCTCTGAGGGTGATGGTAGTCCCTGGCACCCGGGTGGGGCGCTGATCACATCATGTCACCTCCCTTCTCCCGTCCAAGTCCGTCACCCTGGCCGGGAGCAGGTACGGAGGCAGCTGCATCGCAGGAGCTGGGAAAGGTGGCCACCGACTGTATAGTGAAGGCCCAGACCCGGAGTCTGTTGAAGGAGAAGGTTCAAGGGTCATAACCATTGGCCTTTGGGTCAAGCTGGCCAGGTGGCTGACCTTGAAGTGGTGCGGGTCAGAGAAGTGGCCTGGCATCCAGCAGGTCCTTTTGGCATCACTGTCATGCCGCTGTAAAGCGACACAGTAGCCCTGGCGCAACCTGGAAGGTCATGTGGCCTAGCGCCTCTCCTGGGTGCCTGCCTAGCTAACCAGGGGCTGTATGTTGGGCTTCGAGACCCTCTGGTTCTCTCCTCCCGGCCCCCAGCTCCCATTATTTTAATGTAAAGGCACGGCTCAGCCCCAAACACACACACACACACACAAAAACCCGTTGAAATGCACTGTGGCTGTCCTCATTGACTCCCATTGTGCGCTTAATGGTGGGCCCAGTGGGTGGGGGCTGGGAGGGGTAGAGCAGGTGCACGGGCAGTGGTGCCCAGCACCTGTTCCAGGCTGCAGCTGCTGGCCCATGGCGGGGCTGGCCGCTTTAATCCGGGAGGTATCGCATGTCCAGTGCCCCTCTTGGCGGCCTTTGTCCCCGCCGGCCCGGTGCCGATTTCACACTTGCCAGGAGTGTCATAAAGGCGTCTGGGGAGGCAGGGGACGGGGAAGGCAGGAGGGCTGTGCGGCCTCCCTCTCCATCACATCTCCTTCCCGCTCTGAGCAGGTTTATGTCCAGTCATACTGGGGTACTCCCCTGCTGGGAGGCAGTTCTCACAGCTTTGCTCAAGGCCTGAGGAAGTGGTGCTGTCCTTATCTTGGAAGTCGCCAAGCCCTCCAGGCCCTGCCACTCAGTGGCAGAGCCAGACCCCTGATGGGTGCTCCCAGCCTTCTGCCCAGCTCCATGAGAGCCTGTGCACACCCTCCCACCCTAGCTGTCCGGCACAGCCCTGGGCACCAGGAGGGGTGTGGAGTCCCGTCTCAGCCCTCCTGAGTTCCTGCCCTGGGAGTTAGTGAACTGTGGGAAGATAGCCTGGTGTATGCTACGTGTCTGTTAATTTGGGGTTATTCTTTTGTTCCTTCAGGTACAGAATATATATTCTTAATTATTCATTGTAGACATTTATTGATTTACTTAGTAAAAAGCAGAATTAGGGAGGTAGAAACAAGAAATCTTCCAGTTATTGGTTCACATGGCACTAACTGCCAGGGCTGAGCCAGGCCAGAGCCAGGAGCCTGTAACACCATCCAGGTCTCCCACATAGGTGTAAGGTCTAAGAACGTGGGCCATCTGCCACTGCTTTCCCAAGTGCACCAGTAAAGAACTGAATCAGAAGTTGAGCAGCTGGAACTTGCACTAGTTCTCATACGGGATGCTGGTATTAGCAGGGACTTAGCTGGAGGTGGAGCAGCCAGGGCTCCAGGCAGCACTGATGGGATGAGGGCTTCCCAGGCTGCAGCTTAACCCACTGCATCTCAGCACCTGTGCCCATCTGCACATTGACATGGACAGTTGGGCCGCAGGAATAGCTCCTGATACGTGGGAACAGCTTGATAGGCATTAGTTAAATATGTTTGAATGGACTTTTAAGTTGAAAAATACTACACTCCACAAGAAAAATCCAATGCACTTTGAGTGGGGCAGGAGCATAAAAGGGTATTGCCTGGTGAAGGAAAATCAGGGTCCTTTTTTTGTTTTTTAAGATTTACTAGAAAGGCAGATTTACAGAGAGGAGAGACAAAGAAAGATCTTTATCTTCTGGTTCATTTCCCAAATGGCCACAGTAGCCAGAGCTGAGCCAATCTGAAGCCAGGAGCCTCTTCCAGATCTCCCACATGCATACAGAGCCCCAAGACTTTGAGCCATCTTCTGTTGCTTTTCCAGGCCATTGGCAGGGAACTGGATGGGAAGTGGAGCAACTGGGACAGAACCAGCACCCATATGGGATGCTGGTGCTTGCAGGTGAAGGATTAGCCAATTGAGCCATCATGCCAGCCTCCATCAGGGTCCCTTTTAAGACTGGCTCATTTTGCAAGCACTTATTGAGCACTTACTGTGTACTCAGTCCCACATACGCTTCCTAACCTGGCCTTGGCTAGGCAGATGGTGTGTCAAAGCCACCAAATCCTGGGTTGAACCTTGGGGGTGTCCCAGACCCTGGGCTAGGAATGGATTCAAGGGAGGCCCTCCCCTTACCTAGTCAGGTTGGTGGACAGCCCTGGAGACTTGGGGTTATGACGCAGCAGGTGCTGTGACCAGGGAAGCAGGCTGCTCGGGCTGGGTGGGCAGCCAGACACTAAGCTTTGTCTCTAGACAGAGGTACGGTGAGCAGTGTACACAGTGCAGGGTTGCTGGGTGACCCTGAACCTGCTCCTTGACCTTAATGCCTCAGTTTCCACCATCTCTAAGCTGAGGACTTGGGTCAAATGGCCATAGGATTAGTCAGGATCCAGCAGTTGTTGGAGGGAGCAAATGTGTAGCCCTTTTCTGGGGTACCAACCCCCTGCTAGGCAGGTGGACAAATGAGAAAATGCAGGCTCCTAGAAGGCAATTTGCTCAAGGTTGCACAGTGGGAAGTCCTGGTCAGTTCCAAGCTTAGTCTTTCTGGGCTCACGGGTTCTTTCTCAGGCTGTTTGGGAGGCTCACTCAACACCCCACCCTCGTCCCCTGCTCTCTGTCGGCAGGCGAGAAGCCCTTCTCCTGCTCTCACTGCAACCGCGCCTTTGCCGACCGCTCTAACCTGCGCGCGCACCTGCAGACGCATTCAGACGTGAAAAAGTACCAGTGCGCGGTGTGCGCTCGGACCTTCTCCCGCATGTCCTTGCTCCACAAGCACCAGGAATCGGGCTGCACGGCGGGCCCACGCTGACCCAGCGCCTCTTCCCGCCACTCCCTCCCTGGCCCAGGGCAGCCTCTGCCTGCTCCTGGAGGCTGGAGCCCGCCTCCTCTCACTGCCCAGGAATTCCTTCACAGCAGCGGCTGCAGCGGCCCCCGCAGGACTTCGTGAAGACAGATTTCTGCTTTCTAACACTCCGTTCTGGGCATCCCGGCGTGCTCCGCAAGAGGCCTTTCCGCAGCCCACCTTCAGTTGTGGGCTTGTGTATCTAGAGAGGTTTAGATACAGCTGCTGCAAGACTGCCACAGACTGACAGGAAGCTCTCACCCCACGCCCCAGCCCTCCCCGCCTCAGGCCACCCTCCACGAGGTGTGACTAACTATGCAGTAATCCGCCCCCAGGTGCAGCTTCAGGTCCCGCGGGGGTGGGCGCCTGACAGGAGGCCATGTCTAGACCCCAAGGTGCCCCTGGGCTTGGGCAGCTGTGTCAGCCTCGTGTTTGTCACTGCGGCACCTGTTTCACGGACAGTTTAACAGTGTCTCAGAAGAGACTGGGTGGTGGCCCTCGGCCTGACCCCTGTGTCTCCCGGAACTATTTTGGGGCCCAACAGGTGGGCCTGCAAGAAAGATGTTTACATTTTAAAAGGTACACTGGTATTTATATTGCAAGCAACCTTTTGAATTATGTTTTGTACAGTTATGTGTACAGTTTATTGATATTCAATAAAGCAGTTAATTTATATATAACAAATAACAAAGCATCTGCCTGGTCTTAGAGAAGAGAGGGTATTTTTTTTTTTTAAAGATTTATTTTTATTATTTTTTATTGGAAAGGCAGATATACAGAGAGGAGAGACAGAGAGGAAGATCTTCCGTCCGATGATTCACTCCCCAAGTGAGCGCAACGGGCCGATACTATGCCGATCCGAAGCCAGGAGCCTCTTCTGGGTCTCCCACACGGGTGCAGGGTCCCAAAGCCTTGGGCCGTCCTCGACTGCTTTCCGGGGCCACAGGCAGGGAGCTGGAAGGGAAGCGGGGCTGCCGGGATTAGAACCGGCGCCCATATGGGATCCCGGGCGTGCAAGGCGAGGACTTAACCACTTGCGCCACCGCGCCGGGCCCGAGAGGGTATTTTAAAAGGAAATGGGGCAGGAACTCCTAGCGCCTCGAGATTTCTGATGCAGCCGTTTAAATCTCACCCTCGGAAGTACCACGTGGCATTGGCGCCCTGGCTGTGAACAGCAGGGACTTGGTGCCGGCGGTCACCCGCTGCGCACAGCCCTGTCTGAGGCAGGCTTGTGGACACTTGGCTGGCTGAGCAAGATCCTGGTGCTCTAAACACTGCAGCTCTCAACATTCTTCAAAGAATGATTTCTTGCTAATCCTTCACCTGCTAACATAGACATCCCATACGGGTGCCAGTTTGTGTCTCAGCTGCTCTGCTGCCAATCTTGCTCCCTGTTCATAGCCCGGGAAAGCCTTGGGTCCCCTGTGCTCACTGAGAGACCAGGAGAAAGCTAAGAGCTTCTTCAGGTCTCCGCCATGAGTGGTAGGCACCGAGACACTTGGACCAGCTTGTGCTGTTTCTCCCAGTCTGTTAGCAGGGAGCTGGATCAGAAATGGAGCAGCTAGGACTGGAGCCAGAACCCCACGGGTGCTGGCGGCTTTGCTGGTGACTTCAGCTGTTGCTATACCGTGGCGTCGGCCCCTGTTTGTAAGTTTTCTTTCTTTAAAGGACAAGGAGGCAGAGATTTTTCATCCAGTGGTTCACTCTAATTTCCCAGGCATCAGCCACAGTGGGCCAGGCTGAAGCCTGGAATTTAGAATTTAATTTAGGTCTTACTGTGTGGGCAACAGGAGCCCAACTATTGGAGTGATCACCAACAGCCTCCTGATGTGTGGGCATTAGCAGCAGGAGATTGGCCTAGGAAGCAGGACATGAATCAGAAACTTAGATGTGGGTGTCCAAGCCCCATCCTAACCACTATACCAAACACCTGCCCCTGTTCTTACGCTCTTGCTTAAACAAAAACAACAACAAAAATGGGAACCAGGAATGCAAAATCTGGGTCTCCCATGTGGGTGGTAGGGACCCGGTTGCTGGAACCACCTGCTGCCTCCCAGACAGCCCAGTGTGGCTCTGGGTCATCCTAGCTGGTGTCTAAGCTGGCCCCTCACCCTTACATGTTGAATCTAGCCAGGCCTGAAGTACGCCAAGCTGGCTCCCTGGGTCTTATCAATGAGACAGCCTACAGGCCTTGGCCCTAACTCTGCAGGTCCCAGGCTGGGCCTGGCCGCTCCTCCCACACCAAGAGTTGAGGATGTCCTTCCTGTCAGAGGGCCCTGGGCCGCCCCAACGGCTTCCCTGGTGGGCAGGCCCACACCTCCGTCTAGCTGCTGGGTACCAAATGGCCTTTGATGCAAGGAAATTGGCTGACTGGAGCCAGGAGGGTGAGAAGCCAGGCCAAAGGGTAGGGGTCATTGAGCTTCCTGCTCTGAGGATGGGAAGAGTGGGGGACGGTCAGCTTGCAATTCACTCCCGATTGGCGGTAGCCAGGACAGAGCAGGCAGTGGTGACCTCACCTCTGGGGGCCTCCCGGGGGCCGGGAGAAAATGAGTGTCTTTGCTAAGCACAAAAGGTGCTCGAGGTGCTAGTTTCCTGCGGGGAGCAGAGCAGAGGCCCCAGGAGCTTCAGGGTCCTGGAGCCAGGCTGGGGATGGGGGTGGAGCTGCTGTGTTCCAGCCAGAGATGATTCTTTCTTCTAAACAGGAAATGGTGACCCGCAGGCCGGGAGCAGCTCTTAATGACTTGCAGCTTTCCTCTCAAAAGGGAAAAAAAATTCTCTGGAACAATCGCCAAATTGTGGCCAGCCTCCTTGAAGGGAAGTTAGGGAGCTGGAGTGGATAGGGGGCTGGGCACCGATTTGCTGAAGGCCTAGGTCCCCCTAGGTCACTCCACGCACCCACGCTAGATGCTGACAGTGGTGATGTGATGGCCACCCCACCCCTGAGCCACAGCCTCCAGAAACAGCTGACGCCAAGGGCTTGCTGCAGTCACCAAGCCTCGAACTTGAGTCTACTTGGCTACCATGAACCCAGGAGACAGGTGGGCCTGCCTCCTGCCCTTGACCCAAGGTCCCTGGAGCCCCGCTGGAGTCCTCTCAGATCTCCAGTTTCTGGCTTTCCTCTTGAGGACTGTAAAGAACCATCAACCATCCATGCGTCCACTCATTCCTTCCTTCCTCCTTCTGCAAACCTGGATGAGTCGTGTGTGTGCCGGATGCCGGACAGCTGTGAGTAAGCCAGACAGTCCCTGCATGCCTGAAACTCTGTTTTAGCAGAGGAGACAGAAAAACAAACAAGCAGGCTTCCTGCAGAGATAGAGACCCACATAAAGAGAGTGAGATGCTAGAGACGGAGGGTGGGGCTCCCCGAGCCAGGGAAGCTCCAGAACCCACAACAGGCAGGGTCGGGAGCTAAAGTGGGACAGGTGGCAGCTAGGACAAGTGGAGCCCCATGGGAGAGACGGGAGAACTGGTAGCAGGGGAGTCCACCCTGGCTCTGCAGAGCTCTGGGTTACTGGGAGTTGGGATTGTGTCCAAATTTTGAGGGCAAGTGGGCAGTGGATGAAGCCCTCTTGACCTTGGACTCCAAAGCCCACTGGAAGAGGGTCAGGAGAGGAGAGGGAAAGGAACTGATAGTGCCAGACATGAAGTGAGAGAGAGCAGGTGATAGTGGCACAGGGTAGGGGTGGCCTTGGGGATGGAGACTGGATTTAAGAATCCCCCCTGGGGGTGGGTGTGTGGCCTGGCAGTTGTGGTTGGGACAACCATAGTCCCTATCTGAGCACCTGTTCGAGTCCCTATTTCTCTGCTTCTGATCCAGCAGGAGATGGCTAGAGTGCTTGGCTCCTTGCTACCCACGTGAGAGACCCTGGTGGAGCTCCTGGCTCCTGGCTCCACCTGACCTGGCCCAGCCCTGGCTATGGCTATGAACCAGGTCTCAGTGCCTCTCCTAGTCTGTCCCTCTGCCTTCCAAATAAATAAACTAAAAACAAAAACAAACAAACACACATTTTTAAAATTGGAGCCAGCATCGTGACACAGTGGATTAAGCTGCCACCTATGGTGCCAACATTCCATGTGGCCTTTTGTTCATTTCCAATCCAACTCTCTGCTTACGGCCTGGGCCTGGGAAAGCAGTAGAGGATGACCTAAAGCCTTGGGACCCTGTACCCATATGGGAGACCCAGAGGAAGCATCTGGCTCCTGGCTTCAGATCGACTCAGCTCTGGCTGTTGTGGCCACTTGGGGAATGAACCAGTGGTTGGAAGATCTTCCTCTCTGTCTCTCCTCTCTTTAAATCTGACTTTCCAATTAAAAATAAATAGATCTTTTAATTAAAAAAAAAAAACCTTAGTTAAAATGAACTACAAGTGGTTTCTTGGAGGGTGCAACAGGTGGAAATGGGGCAGATGGGGAGAGACTTCTGTAAGCTTTCCATGGGGAAAGAACTTCAACCTGTGGCAATGCCACGGGCCCGGTCGTCAGACCCTCAAGATGCTGACATGTCCTCACACTTGCCTCGTTTTCTCTGCCAACCCCCATACCTGTCACCACAGCCCCTTTTCAGACACAGGGGTGTGAGTCTCCTTGCAAGAAGCTCCCACAGGCACAACTCCATGTTCAAACTCTAAGATGTTAGCTGTGAGCACAGCCGTTGTCTCTGCTCTGTCCACCATGCCCACCCACCGTCTGCCCCAGGGCACTCCCTGGGCCTGTCCTGCAATCTTCTGTCTCCCAGGACGATGCCTTCCCATCCGAATTGTTCAGAAATCTCCTGAAATTCCATCCGGCTCCTGTATTTGGCATGCGTCCCTCTGCTTACAGGATGTGGCCCACACTGGCATCTGCAGTGGCCATGTGGGGAAGGAGATGCCCGTGGAGATTCTGGCTGCACTTCCTCCTTCCCTACCACCGCATCCCGCAGCTGAGACCACGTGGGGGTTTGATTACTCCTCCCTCTGTCCCACCTG